GGCAGCGGACTTCTCATTATTGACGGCAATGTTCCATCGCTTTTGCCAGTCGCTAAGCAAGTCAAGCTGCAATTGCATCGTTTCGGCTGCCCCCATGGCGCTATCGGCGGTGGTAAGGAAGGCGGTGTCGTCTGCATAGGTTGCTGCGAGCAGGTCAGGCCTCTGAAGAACAGGTAGGTCGGCCGTGTAAGCATTGTACATCAACGGGCCAAGAACGCTGCCTTGAGGTACACCAGTCCGAGCTTCTCTTATACCGGATATGGCCTCGTCACATCTAACCGCAAATTTACGGTCTTCCAAGAACAAATTTAGGAACTGGAAGTATGGTCGTCTTTAATTTATATAGAAGACCGGGATGCCAGACTCGGTCGAACCCCTGCTTCACGTCCAGCATGACGGCCATGCAGTACTTCTTGGTTTCAAATGCGTCCAGGATGCACTGCACCACCCGATTACACTGCTCTGGGGTACCGTGTCGCCGCCTGAAGCCAAACTGGTGGTCAGGGATCAGTCCAGCCTCGTCAAATACTGGCAGTGCTCTGCTTAAATACACTCGGTCCAGTATTTTGGAGAGCATTGGTAACAAACTTATTGGTCGGTAGGACGAAAAGTTCGCTTCGGGTTTCCCGGGCTTAAGTATCATAGTTACCTGGGCACGTTTCCATGTGGACGGAAAGTACCCTATCTTCAAGCATCTTTTATAGATCCTCGTAATTAGCTGAATGCTTGGAGGTGGTAACCTCGCCATAAGTTATGTTGAGGGTCGCTGGCTCAAGTTGTTCGACGAACCCGTCAAAGGCCTGCTTTCTTAGTCTTGCCAGCGTTTCTGTCATACACAGTGGTGTCATTTCCGCTTTTTTCCCGTCAGATCTGGGTTTTTTTGAAGCGTGATTGCGGGAAAAATATGAAAACAGCGGGCAGCGGGAATTCTGGCTTTTTGAGCAAATTTACGCAGCTTTTTTTTTTTTGTTTACAGTTTGATGCATTCTCTGTTGAAAATATTTTAAAAATCAAAAAGAAACAAATCTCTCCAATCCTTGAGTATTTTGGTACTCCTAATATAGATACAATTTAACGACTGTACGACATAACCATGGTAGAGTGGGAAAATGTCGATGATACTGTTAAGTTCTGGGCTGAAGTTCTTAGATATCGGGATTCTGGCGGAAACTGCCGTTTTCAGGAATTGGCTTCAGTTGCTCTGCAAATGCAGTCCTGCCTTGGTCGAATGCCGACGTCGAGCGGTTATTCAGCCAAGTACATTTAATAAAAACGAAAATTCGAAATCACATGAGCGTTGAAACATTAAACGCTATACTGATTATAAGGTCCATATTTTAATTTGTATCTTAAAATTATAAATTAATTTACTTAAAATTTGAGGTACGGGCTGCGTCGACACAATATGTGCTGTTTTAACTATAATATACCACCCAGCTGCCTATCTACAATTGAAGACAAGAAATTTTATCCAACTGATGATGATGATAATATTGACGACATCTTAAATATAATATAGATCTTAATTTTTGTACATTATTGTTTTTTTGTGGTTTCTTGTAATGATATCCGTTAGAGAATTACCCATATATTTTATGTTAAGTGGAACTGAGGTCTTATTAGTGAATAACATGCAGTACGTTGCCTTATAAAAATCAGTTTTTTTCTTAACTTTTTTCCTCTGGTATTCCGCTTTTTTTAGCTTTTTTTTTTCGTTGATCCAGCTTTTTTTGCTCAGAAAAAAGTGACACCACTGGTCATACATTTGGTCGCTCTATTGAAGGCGGTTTTGTTTAATGGATTCCTCGAGAGCATCCACACTCTTCGGAGTCGTCGCTTTTCAAGTTTAAGTTCTTCGACTTCTGGGCTTCAAAAATGGATGTCCCTGTCAGTGGCTCTTGGGCGGTTGGAGGGCCTTGGTGCTGCTTCTGAAGCTGCCGCCTAAATATGGGCTGTTAATTCTTCTACAACGGTGTCGATGTCAAACGGGGAGTCAAGTGTCGGGCTGGGGTCGGTAACATTGTTCAGGTATGATTGGTACTTGTCAACGTCTGTTGTCTTGTAGATCAGCTTTTTGCGGGCTGACCTGAGCAAGGCTGGGGTGAAAAGTGACACGGCGAAGGCGCTGTGGTCCGAGAGGAGGTCTTCTACTTCTCTCGCCTGAATTCCGGCAGAATCCAGTCCTCCGGAGATGGCGAAGTCTAGGACATCTGGGATTTTGCGAGGATCCGTAGGCCGGTATGTGGGTGCACCGTTCGCGTGACAGCTCATGTTTCGGGACTGAATCTGCCTGTATAGAGCCGAGCCCTTTGGGTTCCTAATCCTGGAGCCCCACCAGGGGTGTTTTGCATTAAAGTCCCATCCGATTATGAACTTGGGGCCGAGGCAATCCAGTAGCAAGCCGAATTCCTGTTCGTGGTTGTGCCTGGGGGGGCAATATGCTGCAGCGATTGTTATGTCACCGTTGGTAGTGGAGATTTTAATTTGGGCACATTGCACCCAGTCTTCGCACATGGCTGGAAGTGCCTCATACTTGATGCAGCTGCGAATAAGGATGGCCGCGCCCCCGCGACCTCTACCGTTCGGGTGGTTAGCGGCAACAAGGGCGTATCCTCTAATAGTCAAGTATGATCTGTTGGTAAAATGCGTTTCTGATATGAGGAGAACGTCTGCTTGGTGGGTCCTGCAATACAGCTCGACCTCTGGCCTTCTTTTTACCAGGCCGTTAGCATTCCATATGGTTATATCTAATCGCGTATGCATAAGGATTTGCAAACGGTGGCCATCATTTGGGCTATTTGGCTCAAGACCTTCTCCATCATGCGCTCAAACATAGATTCCATCCTAACCAATAGGGCGTCCATTGGATTACTTGGAAGACTGGGATCGGGATTGGGGTTGGAGTCAAACTGTGGTGCTCCGTTTTTGGCTGCGCTAGCATAGCTGATGTTAGGGTTAATTTTGCTGAGTTGAGGTTGCTGGCTTCTTGGGGCATTCTGCTTGGGGGCGAGCATGCTCTTTGCCTTTTTGTAGGCTGGACAGCCCTTGTAAGAGGCCGCGTGTGGTCCGTCGCAGTGGAGGCAAACGACTGGTTCACTGGCGATTTTGGTGCATTCGGACGATGGGTGCCTATCTCCACACTTTACGCATCTGTACTCCAGATGGCAGTACCGTTTCGTGTGACCGAAGCCCTGGCTGCGATGGCATTGGGGCACATCTTCGAATTTTTTTGGTGCTGCATAGCCGCTTGACTTGAAAGACCTCCTTGTTGTTTTTGGCTGGCTCAAGGTTAATAAAGAAAATGTTTAGTGGCTTCTTTATACCTTTTTGCGTGGGATTGTGTATATCCCTGACTTTGTGTCCATGGCTGCTGAAACCATGGTAAGTGTTAGTGACCATATTAGGTTTTTGGATTAGTGGACGAAGAAGAGGAAGGTTGGTCAGTGGTTCTAATATGGGGAAATTTTACTTCTACTTGTCTTAAAACTTTTTTCTTTACGGTACTAGGCTGATGTTCTTCGATGAAAATGTTCTCTGGTCAAAAGCCGGGTGAACAAATCGTCTTGAAAATCAGCGCGGGCACACGAATCTTGAAAGTAGACGTGTGCCTTATATAATAATATTTATAATTAGTTATGTCCTTTGGCTTTGATATAAGCCGAGATATCAATCTCTGAAGTATCAGGGGAATGCCGAGAAACAGTACATTTATATGAAGTATAAGTTTCTATGGAAGAAGCACCTGTAAGAGTTTCGGCAGCATCAATCGGTACCGGTGGTCCGGACTGTGGAATACCCTTTTGGGTGTGGGTTTCATTCATTTGGACCTGTGGTATCACTTGAAGGGATGCCACGGAGGACATATCAGACAACTGCAAATTTGTATTGAGAAATTCGGACGGCGAATTGGTCTCAGTTTTAGCCCTTGGGATGTCCAGAGATATGAGCGGCTGCGTTAATGTCGGCTGAACAGGCTGAGGTGGATCACATCTTGAAAATTATCACAACAATAATGTCAAACAGACCTATGGGAAATATCATCCGAAACTGAGGCACACTGAGGGGAATCCGGCACACGCCAAGTGTACATCGTTTTCACATAACCAGCAATGGATGGTAAGCTGGGATAAGGATATTGTCGTGTTACAAGACTTTATTGAACAGACGAGTTTTAATTCCATTTTAATAATTAATACTGTATAACAAAATATATACATAAAAAATTAAAAAGCACTATAGCTTGAACCACTGTGCCAAATAGGAGTGGATGTGGAAGCTTTAAAGAGAGCGAAGGAAAATTTCAGAAATAGAGATAAGACCGCTATTGCATTCGAAAGAAAAAACAAAAGAAGAGGAAGAAGCAGAGCTCAGCTATGCTTGGAATTGAAATTAAACAAATTAATAATTCGCCTCCATATATGCCACTGCACACGCGAAGCGATACGACTTACATAAGTTAAGTAACTAAATTTTCCCAAATTCAATTCTTAAGGAAGTTAATTCCGGATTACAGCAATATTTATCATAAACGCAGGGCGCACAAAAAAAAAGACCATTCGCTTAAGAGCAAGTAAGAGAAGTGTTTATCAGAAGTTATTTAGTTTGAAGTTAAGATTCATACTATTTTTAAGAATCGTTTAAATGATGAAAACAGTCTAATTTTAAGATTAACGATTTATACGGAAGAAACATCTGCTATTAAATAAAAAACCTCTTGATGAGGTAAAATACCAGTGTCAAACTATAAAACTACATTTTGAGTCAAATTTTTGACCCAATCGATCTGAATTTTTTTAAACTTTAGCCTTTATCCTGCAAGCAGTTCTTTATTTAAATAAACAATAATAAGTTATTTTTAATAATTATTAATAATTTAATAATATATAAATAATTATAATCATAATAATAATTATAAATAATAATTTATTAATAATATATATTCTTTATAAGGAAGAAAATTATTTTTCCAGGGGGGGAATATATATTTTGATAATTTTTACCATGCTTATATTCTCGTTATCATATTCACATCTTTTCGATCTTTTTGTTTTAATTTTTTTTATTGGCTTAGTTTCCGATTCTTTGTCCTCCATTACGATCAGTACTTCCACAATTTTCTGAAATTTAACGTATTTAAAGAATTGAATAATATTTTAATTTTTTTCTGTTTATTACAGGGTGACAATAAATAACCCGGACAAACATTTTTGATCATAACTTTTTAAGGAACTGTATTTGAGAAAAAATGCAGATACACAACTATTAAATAGGTATTGTGTTAACATATATTCAGCTGCTTTCGTAGTGTCTTCCTTGGGCTGCGATGCAGAGCCCTAAACGTTTCTGGAAATTTAGCGCAATGGGCCGCAGGAGGTTCTTCCGATAATCGATCCCGTTCTCGGAGCAATGATTGCATCAGCGCCTCCAAACTTATGTGGCGTTAAGCACATGCCCTGGACTCCAAAATAGACCACACACTCTAGTCCATCGGATTAAGATCTGGCGAGTAAGGTGACCATTCACTGCATGTGATAAAGTCCGGGAAATTGGCTTTGCACCAGTCCTGAGTCAATTTGGCTCTATGGGCAGACGCTGAATCCTGTTAAAACGTCCACTCCGTATCACCGAAGTGCTGCTGGGCCCAAGGAAGCACAACTGTTTCCAAAATGTTCCGGCGGTACACTTCCTGATTGATCCTTGACCCCTTGATCGATGAAAACAAGGGGTGTTTTGCCAGTGGCGCATTTTCCTCCCCAAACCATTAACATAGGAGTGGAGACTGCTCACATTGACGGCGCTCGATTATTTCAGAGGTACCTGGAGCTTTAGCAGACCAGCTTCTGTCATTTTGGTGATTGTGCGCCTGTTGGATGGTGAATATCTTCTCGTCCGTGAAAAGAATTCGCTTCCATTTTTGACCTGCGGCCCGACACTTTAGCTGACGGCATCTTTGGAGTCTCACGCGCTTATTGTCATCCGTAAGAAGATGCATTTTTTGGAGCTTGTAGGGCTTGAGATTAAGTTCATTTTTTGCTCGATTCACTCCGATTTCACGGGCTATTTTTCTGACCGAGACTCTGCAATTCCGAGTGATCCGCTTTTTCACTATCTGGCGAATTCTGGAAGTGTTAGCGGTACATGGTCTGTAAATATGTTTGTTTCAGAAAAGTACAAGCTATCGATAAATGCATTTATTTAAGGGCTGCATCATAACACATTTATAATAGATTGCTTTAAAGTTGGTCCGGGTTATTTATTGTCACCCTGTATTTATATACTTTATTATAAATAAATAATTATTATTAATTAATTAATTAATTAATTAATTAATAAAATATTAATTAAAATTGTTATAAATAATGATTAAAATTATGAAATATTATCAATATTGTATCGAATTTTAAAAAATAAAAGGTAACTTCTGGCGGAATTGAATCTGATAAGCCCTTGCAGTCAAAATATCATAATAAACTATAGGATAAATATCAGACACGGTTGATTCTTAAGGTTCTTAATTTATTTCATTATAAAATACAAAAATTATAAGTTACAACAAAAATGTCATGTACTTTCTCCCAAACTTACCATATATTTTTAAAAACACAAAAGCTGTTTCACATAGTTTAGTTAAGTGGTATAGTTTAAGTATATATGTATATATTCTTGATCAGCATCAACAGCCGAGTCGATATACATATGTAGCCATGCCCGTCTGTCCGTCTGTTCATATCAACGGATGGATCTCATACTCTCGAAAGATCTCGAATCCTATAAGAGATATAACCATTCGATTTGGAACTTGCACTCGTATTGTACTCGAGCAGATCAAATTTGTGTTCAAATTTTGACACGCCCACTCCCACCCTCCGGAGACATCTCCGACCCTATAAAGTATATATAGTCTATATCAGGGGTGCCCAAGCTCAGCATACGGCAGAGCCAGTGCAAAAAATCACCAATACATTTACACAATATTTTTTCATGTCTATGCACTGAAGGAGTTTCAAATAAATATCATTATAATAAAAAAAATGCATTTTATATATATTTATATATTGTAATACATACATTTGATAATTATAAATAGGACCTATATTTTTTACCAATTAATGGTAAGATTATTAATGAATAACTTTTTACTAAAATAATGTTCTGCTAGGAAGAAATTCATCGCTTCAAGTCGACCATTTTCGTCGAAACAAAAAAAAATTAATTTCTCGCAGTGAAAAGTTTTTGGCAACCCAACAACAAAATGCATTCGGATCAGGACAATTGAGGAGAATAGGGAAAACAGGAAAAATTGTTTTTGTGTTTGGGCTTTGCCTATGCTGGGAGCCACACACGTATATATATATATATAATTAAATGTTTGCACCATAAGTTTTCAATAAAAAAAATTATCTTTATTTTTCTTATGTCCAACTGGTTACAAATATTCTTTATTTGAAGAACACCAACCTACTACTTGTAGATCTTAAACTGAACTCCACTCCTAACTCTGACTTCTTTTACGATCAAACCTCGGTTTTGGAGCTTTCGAGCTTTACTTGAGTGTGTTTATTCTAATTGAGTGTGTTTTATTGTTTAGGCTGAGAACTTTCCCGATTGGACTTTGGATTCTTGCTTTTGAATTTGTTTTTGTCTTTGGTCCCGAAATTTGAGTTTTACGATTGGGTTTGGGGATCTGAATTATGGGAACGTGCTGAATGCATGTTTCCCTCGGTCTGTTTAGTCTGAGGATTTTTGTTTATAAGTACTTTTCCATCCTCAATTATGTTTAGGTCTGATTTGGGCTAGGATCATGTTCGGTGCATTTGCCTATTTGAATCTAAGTCTCAAGGGTAAGTTCTGACAAATACTTAATGTGTATGTGTGAGTGTGTGGGTGTGTGGACATTTACATAGTTTATGTATAATGCTATGGATATGTCACTCCCCCAACCTTTGAATTTGGCCTGTCCTCAGGTCGATAGATTTGGGTATAACATGAGATGCTCTCCTATGTTCATATTAGGTTGATCGTTTACAATTTCTGGAATCTTTGGTGTTTCTTCCTTTGGTTTTACATATTTTACAATTAGTTTCTTCGGTAAACTTTTGAACTTATAGAATAGATACAAAGATAAACTTATAATTGTAATTATAAAAGTAGTTGTTGTTATTATTTGGAATACATTATAATATTTTGTGTGTGTTTTTATAATTTCTTTTGTTTGGATATATGCTAGCGGTTCTAGTTTTGTTACATTATTACTGACATAAACTGTTTGGGTGTAATCTGCCATTGTATTTGAAAGGATAAATTCATTCAATTGAACCGAACAATTAAGGATTTTGATAAGGTTACTTCCGCTTATAGAAATTTCTTTATTAATGCAATTTTGATTTAAAAATGTTTTAGGGATGTTCCATGTCAATAAAATATTTGGTTCAATATAATCAATTTGAAAATTTTTATGAGTTTTAGTGTATTTACAACCTGTATTTTCTTGTTTAATTATTCCATTTATACATTCGTCAAATACAATCTTTCCTGTTTCTTTATCAAATACTTTTTCATCATGTAGGAAATACTTATTGATCGTGTTCTCTGTTAGTATGTTATTGTCTTCATCTGGGTAGGGAATAATTTCGAAAACAGGGGCTTTAAATATTTCGGTAGGAATGTGGGACATAATCAGAATTTCATTTGTATTAGTTTTGAGCCAAGTGGAAGTTTTGATTTTAAGCAATTTCTCGGAATTCACCTGTTTTAAATTATCATGTTTTAAAAGTTTGGGGTTAAAAATTCCAAGTCTAGTTAGTTGCATTCCTAACTCAATGTCTTCTATGTATTCTGTGAAGTGTTGTAGATTAAATATTAGGACGTTAGCCTGTTGCTCTTTCTCTTCCTCGTCTCTAAATTTGTTGATTAAATCTAATCCATTGTTTACGACATCAATAATCTTATTCAAATCATTACTTTGAATACTATTCTCAGTTAGTGTATCGATTTTCTGTTCTAACTCTTCTTTATCATCCTGATCCAATGTTCCAAATAAGTATTTGTAAGTTGTTCCTACAATGTTTAGCAACCCTCTTTTGCTACGTTTTGCGATTTTAATACCATTAATTTCTCGTTGAAGTTTTCCCACTAAATATTCTATCTGCAATGTTCCTTTGAATTCACATGCTTCTTCTACTAATTTCTCAAAGATTTGTTCTGTTTTCGTAATATTTATGCTTATAAAGTGATTCTCATAATTAGTTGGAATGTCTATCGTGCCTGTTTTAAACATTAAGTATCCATTTTGGGCTTTTATCGGATTTATTTCGATGTTTTGTCCATTCGTCATTTGAATTGAAGTAGTTAATATAATCATAAACATAATAATTTTATAGAGGTTGTTGAATCCATTAGGTTTCTTCTGTTTGTCTGGAATTGTTATATTTACTTTTATTAATTATTTTTTTCTTTTTAAATTTAGATTTATAATGAGTAATTTTCCTGCCTCTATTGGTTTCTTCAAAATGTTTCTCATCAACTTGTCTGATATTTCCTGTCTTTTTAAACGGGTTAGTTGTTTTTGATTTTACTAACGGAGATTGCTTATATTTGGTATCTATTTCATAATCATGTCTGTCTTTATTTAGTTGATTAATCTTATTGATTTTCTTATCCTGTGTATCATAATCGGGTGTTCCTGCATACATGAAAATATCGGCTGGTACTCTGTTTGTAGCATTATGTTTTGTTTTGTGATTATAAATGTAAAGTATTAACTCGAATTTAGTGTACCTATTTTCAATATTTGTCTCACTTCCAATGATTCGTAGTTTTTCATTAACTGTCTTATGGAATCTTTCTACGTCTGATATACCATTCTTACTTGTTGTTACCTGAATTTTTACTCCTTCCGAATCTAACCAGTTGTGTAAAGCTACACACATAAATGCTGAATCCTTATCTACTTTAATTTCTTGTGGTTTTCCCATTTCATTAAATACTTTCATTATTGCTCTTTTCGCTTCTAGCCAATCTTTACTTGTTATTTCTACTAATGAAGCAAATTTTGAATACACGTCAATACAAGATAAAAACTGTTGATTACCTACTATATAAAAATCCATTACGTATT